TGGCCATTCATGTAGAATTTCACAGTTTTCTCATCTACCCCATTTCCCATGTAAACTGTCCGAGGAGAAAAAAACATTCTGAAAAACATCAGAAAAAAACAATAACAGAAGAATCTTAGTATCTATAAATTCTCCTTCTGATGATAAAAAAAGTGTCAATCATTAATGGAGTCTCTTGCGTACACTACTTCTTCCAAGAAGACCAATGACCTGATGAGAATCACTGATGTTTCTTTCACTCCTCATCTCAAACATGGCGGCGGGGAAGAAGAGCCTGAAATCAATGTGTTTGATGCCAAGAAATACTTCAGTGATAACACTGATTGGAAAGAGTTGGGCAGAGGGTCGGTGTTTCCTGAAAACATTTACGACAAGAACGAGGTCAAGATCTCTGATCTGTCGGAAATCGAGCGGTTTTCGTCTGTTTCGTCGGTGGACGGCGGCGGGTTTGGCCGGAATGCCAAGGCAGGTTCTTTCCATACTGCTACTCCGACGACAGCTTCATCTGAGGCTAGCTGGAATAGCCAAACTGGGCTTCTGTCCAGACCTCCCGGTGCAATTGCGGTTTCTCTAAGGAATCTTTCCAGCCGCAGGGGGAAGAGGAGAGGCTCTGCTTCGGCGGCGACGGCGGCGAGGTGGCTGTTTTGCAGGTCAAAGTGTCCGTGCTCCGGGAAGAAATCCGTCCAGGTTGAGGAGCCGCAATCCGACATTGATCAAGAGAGGATTGAGTTGGAGGAGAGAGATCAAAATCTGTCTATGAAAGTTAAGGTTAGTCCTCCAGAAACAGGGCAAGGGATATTGCGTCGGTCTTTTCCCGGCGAGGTCCCTTTGACCGCCGCCGCCACAGGCGTGGGATTTTCCTTTCCGGTTCTGAAAACCTCACCTCATCCGCCGCCGGCTGTTTCTAAGATGACGATCAAAACAAGCGGTTTGCGAGATCAATTTCCTCTTCATCAGGAATCGCTTGAAACTTTCCGGCCACCGATTCTTGGAAAACCGATGGAAGTAATTCAGTTCAAACCTCAGTCACGCGGCGGCGGATTGGAAAACAGAGATCTCCGGGCAGGCAATTGCGCGTTTCCGGGAAGCCCTGATCGGCTGAATGCGGCGGAAGACGACGCCGGGAGCGACGCGAGCTCCGATTTGTTCGAGATCGAGAGCTTCTCCACCCAGGCAAACAACTACCCAACGTACCGGCGGCGGGACTTGCTCGACGACGAGGGGCCGTTCAACGCCCGACGGTTCTCCGCCGCGATCAACCTCTACGGCGGCAGGAGAAGCCTGGACGAGCCGGCAACGCCAAGCGTGGCGGCGACGGAGAATTACCCGCCGAGCGAAGTGAGCATAGACTGGAGCGTGACGACGGCGGAGGGATTCGACCGGGCAAGCTCAACGAACTTTTCCATAAGAACGATGGAGATGAAAGAGCACATCAACGGCGGCGGCGGGAGGCAGGGGACGGCGGGGAGCAGCTACGGGGTGGGGGGGAAGTGCAAGGGGGGTGGGTTGCTGAGCTGTCGGCACGAGAAGGCAGTGAGCGTGGTGGGGCCGCGGCCAGTGAAACTTGCGCCGGATGGGATAGGACCGCCACGTCCGCCGGCATCGCCGCTGTCAATAATGTCGGCAGCTTCGCATGTGAGTGGTAGGCCACCGAAGCCCATCAAGCCGCCGCAAGGAACATCGCATTCCGCTCGTTTGTCTCTAGCTTTCGCAGCATAAAATACACTGCCTCCATGTTTCCTTGTCTCTCTTCTTACTCATTATCCATTATTATTGTTATTATTATTATTGTTATGATATTATTATTATTTTTATTATAATTATTTCTATTTTTTTGTTGTTGTTTCCCCCCCACATAGCCTAGATTCTGAGCCCTATTTTGTGATTTATTGTTTTGCCCATTGATTTCCTTATATATATCAACAAATTAATATGTTATGTGTGAAAATTTTAATCATCAAGAACTGAATAAGGAAGAATGTCTTGATTTGCCTCAAGTAATTAATAAATGTTGACTTAGCTAAATTGGAAATCTATAATTGTAATTGAAGCTGGGGTTGAGAGGTATTGAGGTAGAGAGTAAATACATTAGTTCCACAAAGCTATAAAAAGTGTTGATGCAAAATGCAAACTAATTCAAATGATTAACCTTTTTGACTTGTACCTCTCATTAATTAACTTTTCTAAAAAATACGGAGTATGAACTTTAAATTTTTAACATTTAAAATAAGTAAATTTGGAGTGTAGCGGCAGAGTATCATATAATTTTCATATACAAGTACTCCTTGGGTAACATAAATATTTTCCCATTTTCCTTTTTGTAACATTAATATTTTTCCATTTCTAAATCTTCTCATCATACCATCAATAATTTTAAAAATAATATACTATTACACCTACTTTTTTGGATTTATCCTCTATTTCGTCACATTATTTCACTATTTTCCCATCTTACCCCCAATAATACATATCTTCCTTTACTTTTCTTAATCTACCTACTTTTCAAATGGGAACATCCCAAGGTTATTATGGTAAAGATGTTTATTTGAGTTATTTTCATGTAATTTTATCTTCATAAAATTTACTAATAAAACGTATCTAGATATAATATTTTCATAATTTCTGAATTCCATCACATGAGCTACTTCAATATAAGTTTTACAATTTCAAAAAAAAACTTCTATAGGTAATGTCACTCTCCAATAATGTAAATAGACCCATTGACATGATGAATAGCCCATAGCATTCGATTTCTTTTATTTTACTCCAGTAAAAAACATCACATTTGAATTAAAATCTAATGTTAAGGGAACCTTGCGTATAATGGCAAAAAAGTAAATGAAATTTAGGACCATATTTAAATAAAGTCCAGTTTTATACAGGAATCTAGTGTATAATGACAAAAAAGTAAATGAAATTAACAACAAATGATATGACATCCCAAAAGTCTCTTCAACTTGCACTCTTTTTTGAATCACTCAAGAAGAAAAGTTTGTTTAGTATAGTCCCACACCAACAATGCACATAGACCCATTTACATGAATCACCCATACTTAGCTTATAGGCCATAGCTATTCGATCAATATATACTTGCAAAATAATCGCTTGGATTTAATTTATTCCTTCCGTTCAATGGTCGATTCGAGATGAGTATGTAACAAATAAGTAAAGAAATTAGGAGAGTAGGGAATGAAATGATTTATTAGGTTCCTATTTGCAAAAGAAACACCTACAATACACAGAAGAATATTTGGGATCTCTCCATTACTTCATCAGTCCCATTTTATAGGATACACTTTTTATTTTGGTCCCAAAAATATTACCACTTCCTTAAATTGGATTTCATTAAAAATATTACTTTTGTATGTCCATTTTTCCTTTTCTTACTTTTTAAAGGTTAGAATTATATGGTAAAACAACTATTTTATCATTCATTTTAGAGAAATAAATGATCCAACCAGGCCACCGTGTCAAGAATCACCGTCTGACCGCCTCCATTTGAGGTGCTTATGAGTGAATTGTTTTGATAAAATATTGTAAATATGTTCTCCATGAAGTGTAGATTATGCCCACCAAGTTTGACCTTAAAATTCAATCGAGAAGTTAGTTAAATAAATTATTAAAAAAATTGTTGCATTTTTGAAATTTGGTTTCAATATAATACCCCGTCCCATTTTACATGTCTTATTTTCCGTTTTGGAATGTCCCAAAATAAGTGTCACATTTCCCTTTTTGGAAAGAAATATGTGTTTCAAAACATTTCACTTTACTATACTCAAATATCAACCACAACTTTTACCTTTTCAACCACTTTATTAAAAATTATGCCAAGGTAGTAATATTCAAGGAATAACCCTATTAATTTTTGGGGAGAGTGGTAAGTTTACCAAGAAATATAGCATATACTGAAATATACGTAGTTTCATTGCTCATTGTAAAACATCAATTCAATTCGCTTGTATTTGAAACAGCAAGCAGTCCAACCAACAAGATCATTTGAAAAACAGAATTCAATTCACATAAATACGAAACAGTAAGCTGCAAACATACCAACTAACAAGAACATTAAAAAAGTACGTAGAGTTCACAGTAGCGAAAACAACGTGATCATAAGCATCTTTTAAACATAAAATCAAATCAATTAGTAGTTCTATAATGCATGTTACAAACGTACATAGGTTATGTACTTATGGTCTTATGTCAACAAAACACAACAAGATATGACCTATCATGGTAACCCTAATGACCACACTATGTGGCCAAGTGGCCAACAGTGACATATCATGGCCGTGGACAAAAGTTGGGGTGTAAGCTAATACAAAAAATTAGATACTACCTCCGTAACATAGAGATAGATCAGAGATGTTCCTTTTCCAAAAGTATCTAAATTATGAATAGTGAAAGAATATATCCCGTATAAATTATTGAGAGTATGATGAGAAAATTGTGAAGTAGTGTGATAGAATGAAGATAAATAAAAAAAATAGTTGTAATAGTATATTATTTTAAAAGTTATTAAGGATATGATGTGGATGTTTAGGAATGTAAAAATCTTTTCGTTAGGGATGAAAAATAAAAGTGTGAAAATCTTTTCGTTAGAGAGGTAGTATATTTCTATACATAATCTTTTACATTAAAATTAAAAACCTTTTCAAATTTGGGGTGGGTCACGGCCGGTCAGGCCCATATGTACCTCCGCCATTGACAACATCCAGATTCAAAATGACAATTATGCAAAAGGGTATACTCAAGGCCAGTCCTGCTGCTATAATGGGCCCCTTCCAACAAAGAAGTGGGACATTCTTTTCCAACACAAGTACAAATATATACTTCTTTCATTTTTGTAGTTGTAACATTTTTTTTACATTTCCCAACGCACAATTTGACTGTACTTTGTATGTAATTCATTATTAGTAATTTCTTTTTTAAAAATCATATTATGAAACTGTAATAAGACAAATTCAACAATATTTTAAAAAAAAATTAATTTGCATACATTAATAAATAAAATGTAGTTAAAGTAGAGTACATGAATAGTATATAAATTTCAATGTTGCGACTAATACAATACAGATGATAGTATAACATAAACAAAGATCATAGTAGTGATACATTACTGATAAGAGATAATTAACCAAGGTATGATTAAAACTTCCCAACTTTCCCAATCTATGACCCAACTAGCTTTTTTACCAAAATAACATTAAAATTAATAAAATTTAAATAAAATTCGTAATAAATAAATAAATAAATAAATAATTTAGGTGGAAAAATATACCCTTTAGGTTATATCTATAAAACCCTAAGCTTCTACTCTTTTCTCCTAACCCTAGCCTCCATTTTCACACCTCCATACATCCACCCGCCTGCCGCCGCCGCCCCATGGCATGCTGTTTTCCGCCGCCCCATGGCCTGCTGTTTTCCGCCGCCCCATGGCTTGCCATCTGCCGCTGCCCCATGGCCCACCGTCCAGGAGTACGATCGCAAGCCAAATGTGTGTCTAAGGCTTAATCGGCCACCTTAGCCCCATGCTTGCTCGCCGCATCCACCGTCCACACCGACGCACCAGCCCTGCCGTCGTCATTTGACATCTGCGCCGCCACCGTTATCCCTAGATGGGTCTTTTTCGTTCCGCTTTTTTTACCCTCGAATCTCTTCTCTTCTTTACCCGGCCCCCAATACCCTGTCTCTGCGTATCTATACGATGATGGCAGCTTTCGTTGAAAGTCTGATTTTTTTTTTAATTTTATGATGAAGATGAGAGCAATTTGATGCAAGTAGTGAGCAATTGATGAAAACTGAAAAGTCAGACCACTTGTGCTTCGGCCCGCGTGCTTTTGATGCAAGATGAAATGGGTTACGTGAAGATAGGTTTGTACCATTAAATATGATTTCTAAAATTAAGGTTTTTGGCATTAAATATTGGCAGTGAATACAACAATATATGTGTTGTACATGGCAGTGAATGAATGCATTAAAAAGTTTGTTGCGCAATGATTATGATCGGTAGTGCAGTAACATAGAGCATTAATTTTGCCATGAAGCGCAAAATATTTAATTAGACGTAGAATAATAAAAATTATTAAATTAAAAAAAATAAAAAATAAAAATATATATAAATTCATAAAGTGAGTGAGAAGGAAATTAATTTTGACGGAAGTGCAGTGATTATTACCGTATGTGCAGTAAAGTCATGCATTAATTTTGTGCATTAACGACAATATAAAGTGCAATAATTTTAATTGGACGAAATTAGTGCAAAATGCACATATTTTAAATAAGAGTTTTTTGTCATTCAACATTTAAATATAAACAAATTTTCTATTTGTTTTTGGATTTTTGGTCATACAAAGGTATACTTTCTCTACTGATAAAACTCATTGAGTTTTAGTCATATCCCGGTAAATTTCTCTACTGATAATTTATGTCAAAATACGAGTTATTAGTAAACATAATAGTCAAAAGGAGTACGTAATTCCCTAAATCAGAGAAAATAAAAGCAAAATTACAAGAATAGGAGTCTAAGTTTGAAATTCATAATATAGGAGACATACAAAAATATAAAGTTAAAACAAAAGGTACGCAGACCTCAGACGCCGCTGCAACCACATTCTAGCACCGCCACCGCCGATCGCTAGAAAAATATGCCAACATTGAAAAACAATGTCATCTTGATGGTGATAGTTTCAGAGCAAAATTTGGCATTTTATAAGAGTAATAATGTTATCTTCATAATATCTGAGAAATGTGACACGTTTTTTTTACACAACTTTGCATTTTTCCGTTGTTTGGAAGTGGCGGTGTCGAGAGGTATAAGATGCCTATATAATTTTTCTATTTATATGTATTTTTTTCAAGTATTTATTTTTGTTATATTTTTTCTTATATTTTTTATTTTTTACTTTACTTTTTTAACTTTTTATTATATAAAAGATAAATTTTTTATTTTTATATTATTAATCTAAATAAAGATATAATTTTCTTATTGATAAGAGTAGAATGAGAAGAGAAAGTATAAATTACTCTAGAAATATAAACACCAGTATCTCTCTCTGTTTTTTTTGCATTTAAGGATAGTTTACTCTAACTTGTGGCTATTATTTGTCGTTAAAATTAACATTAGCACAATATCATTTAAATACAAAAATTCTTCCAACATATTTAGATGCAAGGTACAAATGTCAATCGCTTTGAATATTTCAATTCAATCAATTTATATTGATGTCAATCGATTGAGTTTCTCTTGTGACATGCCTAGTTAACCACAAATGGGACTTCAACAACTATAGCTTTAAAAAACTTATTTAAGCCGAGACAACAATAATTTGAATAGTAAATAATACTCTACAAGCAATATATAAATGCACATGGAAAGTATTTCTTATCTTTTAAAGAGGTCATTATTCTTGTTGCCCCATCATATCTTCTTTTGGTATATCATCCATTTCCATCAATATCATTGCATTGCTCATCCATTTTAAAATTGCTTTCAAAGGAGTGCAACAACATTGTGAATCTATATACTTAGAGATGGTAACTTTTAAGGATTGAATAAGAATCTAAACATATTTGCATTTGTTTTTGTATTGCTCAAATCTACTATGTACACAACACAAAGTATTGCACTTTAATTTGCATAGTTCTTCAACCGTTGTGTGTGATAAAGATGATTGACTAGCACTCTCATCAATTTTTTTCCTACAAATCACACGCTTTTGAGGAAACACTTATTCAACTTTCAATGGATTGACAATTTCCTCAGCAGCATGCATAGTACTAGGAGACCCATTTTCTCTATAGGAGTATCAAGAAACATGTTTTTTGCTTATAGATTTCTTTGTCTTTCCATGCGTTCATAGTATGTGTCAAGGATTCAAGTGGTGGTTTGACAATAGTAGGAGAGTCTATTTGATCCTTTTCTGATATAGTTATACTGAGTATATTATTAGTTAAAATTACAATTAATAAATGTGAAAGTGTATTGTTACGCTTATTTAAGTATGGTATCTTAAGAACACACGAAATGTAATTTGTGATAAATACTCCCTCCGTCCCATTTTATATGTCCTACTTTTCTTTTTGGGATGTCCCAAAATAAGTGTCTCCTTTCCTTTTTTGGAAAGAAATATATGGTCTACACCATTTCACTTTATTATACTCAAACCTCAACCACAACTTTTACTTTTTCAATCACATCATTAATAACTGTGCCAAGTCAAACTAAGACACGTAAAATAGGACGGAAGTAGTATTATTTAAGCCAGTATAGTGTAAATTCCGCCGTGTAATTTGGGAATATGATTGGGTTAGAAAACTGTGTAGCGGTGTATTCAATTTACCAATATATGATCACAAATTATACCGTGGGATCGGCTCACCTTGCGCATGGTGTGCCAATCTCAAACGGCGTAGCTTTATTAATAAAAAAGAAAGCTAATCTTGTTCCCTAAAATGAAATCGGCTACGGCCTCCGACTGACTTTGTTATTAGGCAACACCAACAAAGAATTGATCCTCTACGCATATGTCTAAAACCAATGCAAGCAGGGAGGATCCAGAGCTAAGCCTCCTCCTATTCGCCGCCGGATGGCCTTGAACGGTTTATATAGAGCAACACCGCCCTTCTACTGCCACACAACACAAGAAGGGATGAAAAGCTTCCAAAGTCTGCAGCTTGTCATTCTTTTAGACAACTTCCAGGCTTCCAGCTACTGCACGTAGAAATTAATTATGAATCTTATTTTGTTTGTTTATATATATATATATGTATATATATATATTATACTGTATTGGAAAAATTATATTTTAACTTAGCTCAAGTTACATTCGAAAATACTTGCAGTTACTTTTTTTTGTGCGCAAGTTACATCATTCATGTGCTTGAGTTACATTTGGAATTGTCTCATCAAGTTACATTTGATATTATATGAAGTTACATATTATTATGTATGAGTTACATATTCTTATGGCCTTATGGGTGAGTTACTTCTTTTTATGCCCCGGTTACATTTAGGGTTTGCCTCAACAAGTTACACTTTGCATACACCAAAGTTAGATTTACCATCAACCAAGTTACATTTTTCATAACACGAGTCACATCACAAAATTAACCCCTTTTATTGAAACAAAAAAAACTTTTTTCAAAATCATTTTTTTTTGAGGACAAAAATGATTTTTTAAAACCTTTTATGGTCTTAATATTAAAAACAAAACATATTCACCATTTTGGTAAAGTTATTTAGCAATTAGATTTCTTTTTTTATCATTTACATTGAAATCAATGTTTTAGACAAGTTACATTTCGACTTGCTTGCATTGACATTTCTTATTAACTTGCGTTACACTTCTTTACATGTGAGTTACCTCATTCTACTATTGGAATAACAAAAAATAAAAATGGTTACTGTACGCGCGTGTGCTGTTTACGCGTAAATTTTTTTAATTAAAAATTGAGCAAACTGCGTCGTTTTGAGAGTAGGAGTAGCGTGCTCACCGTGGTATACAAAGGGAGTAGAATTATCCATCCAATGGTTTAATGCCATTGACTATTGTGTGGACTGGTAGGTGAACAAAATGTTTTCGTTTTCAGCTACCCCTGCAATTTCCTAAGTCGTCCGTCTACGATCCCCTGCCTCCTTTCCTACCCCGTTCCCTCTATTCCACGCCCAAAAAAAGTCAATGGACCCCCGCCGCCATCACCACCACGATCCGCCAGTGCACCACCCCCACCCTGTCCCACCACCGCCAATAGTCCACCACCACCCCGGTCCTCCACCACCGCCAGTGGTCCACCACCACCCTGGTCCGCCGCCTCCCCCAATGGTCCATCACCACCCCGGTCCTCCGCCACCACCAGTGGTCCACCACCACCCCGGTCCTCCGCCACCACCAGTGGTCCACCACCACCCTGGTCCTCCGCCACCGCCAGTGGTCCATCACCACCCCGACATGCCGCCACCTCCAGTGGTCCACCACCACTCCGGACCCCATCCGCCGCCGTTAGTAGTTGATGTCCACGATCCCCGCCATCACAAACAGACATATCGGGTATACTGCCGGGCTAATCCTGACCTCTTGCTCACCGTGCGTGGCGGAAAGGTCATTCTGGCCCCAGCCAAACCCTCCGATGATCATCAGGTACGCTCTCACACATTAACTCTTAGCAGGTAGTATTTGTTCGTACTCCCTCTTTCTCATTTGGTTGTCCTACTTTCCTTTTTGGGTTGTCCCAAAATGAATGTCTTGTTTCCTTTTTTGGATGAAATATGTGGTTCTTATTAATTCACTTTATTCTACTCAAATCTCAACCACAACTTTTACCTTTCAACCACTTTATTAATAATCGTGCCAAATTGAAAGTGGACAACCATTAGGGGACGGAGGTAGTAGTATTTAACTACTCGTTCCGTTTATAAGATTGAAACATCACAAATTGGTGTGATGGTTGAGAAAGTAGTGCATATTTAATACAGAAGAATGAATTGATGAATTATGAAATTAGTATTCAACCAATTTAGGAGTAAAGAGTTAAAAAAAATATTTATGGGTTAAATATGTACATACTTGCACAGTTGCACCTAATGACCAGGAATACAGAATTGAAATCTCAATCCCGAATTCCCGATAGTAGCCAATCACCCAACCGAAATTTCATTTGCTATTATTATGTTATAATGTTTTATTGGATGATTTCTATTTAAGATCAATTATAAACTTTTACCTTTGACTAGATGATTATTATATACTCCGTATATAATATACTACGTATAACATTTGTTTCTAAATTATCTTCCTTTAAAAATCAAGGATTTCAAGGATGTTTTGATATTATCGTCCAAAATTTATGCT